GTGTGTGTGTGTGTGTATGGACTCAGCAGTCTGTGTGTGTATGGACTCAGCAGTCTGTGTGTGTGTGTGTGTATGGACTCAGCAGTCTGTGTGTGTTTGTGTGTATGGACTCAGCAGAGAGTGTGTGTGTGTGTGTGTGTGTATGGACTCAGCATCTGTGTGTGTACGGACTCAGCAGAGTCTGTGTGTGTGTATGGACTCAGCAGTCTGTGTGTGTGTGTATGGACTCAGCAGTCTGTGTGTGTGTGTGTATGGACTCAGCAGTCTGTGTGTGTATGGACTCAGCAGAGTGTGTGTTTGTGTGTATGGACTCAGCAGAGTCTGTGTGTTTGTGTGTATGGACTCAGCAGAGTCTGTGTGTGTGTGTGTATGGACTGAGCAGTGTCTGTGTGTGTGTATGGACTCAGCAGTCTGTGTGTGTGTGTATGGACTCAGCAGTGTGTGTGTGTGTGTGTATGGACTCAGCAATCTGTGTGTGTGTGTGTATGGACACATCAGTCTATTAATAATTAAAATTCCTGTGAGTTGTTGTGTGGGAAGGGCCCCAGTGCATTGCTTTGCCCAGGGGCCCTTAACTCTGTTAAAATGGTACTGCTTGTGTGTGTCAGTGAGCTTCTATTTAGTGAGCATGTGTGTGTCAGTGAGCTTGTCTTTAGTGAGCTTGTGTGTGTGTCCCTGAACTTCTTTGTAGTGAGCCTTCTGTTTATACAAGTGAGTGTCTGTAGTAAGCTTGTGTGTGAGTCAGAGAGTTTTGTCTGTCAGTAAGCCTATTTGCGCATGTCAGTGAGCTTGTGTGCTTACTGTACTATATATATATATATATATATATATATTTATTTTGACTTGTAGGAATGGCATACGTTTTTTTTCCAGGGCTGCTTTGGATTCCCAGGGATTCCCAGTTTGGCTCTGCCAGCGAGTGCACTTTACCGCTGAATAATCTGTGTAAGCTGCCGCACACTTTAGCCCTGTTACACGCGTCTGGGAGCCTTGGGGTTTATGTTCAGCTATCTGTATAATACAGATCTGTGTGTATAAAATATCCCGGGATAGTCAGTGCTCCCTGTATAGTGCTGCTCTCTGTCTTGGGATATTATACACAAACAGACCTGTATTATACAGAGAGCAGCACTATACAGGGAGCACTGAGTGTCCCAATTTATTATACACACAACCCTGTATTATACAGAGAGCACTGACTGTCCAGGGATATTATACCCAGACAGTAATTGATAGCTGTGCTGCAAAATGTCCTTGGAATTTTTTTTTCAAATGTTGGCAACTATGGCACTGTATCAAGGATAATGTGTTTGTTCTTTTAATAATCCCTGGTGGAAAATAATGAATCCTCCACCAGGTATTATTAAAAAAACAAAACACATTGTGTCGGGGGCGTGGCTTAACATGTGACAGGGGCGGGGTCAAACTGCGACGAGGGCGGGGTTAAATGTGCCCCCCTACTTTTGTCACTGGCCCTCCATGTGCCCCCCCGAAAAATGAATCCTAGAGACGCCACTGCCACTCACCTCACAGTGTATCCATGGGATGTGACTCAGCAGCCACTCACCTCGCAGTGTATCCATGGGATGTGACTCAGCAGCCACTCACCTCGCAGTGTATCCATGGGATGTGACTCAGCAGCCACTCACCTCGCAGTGTATCCATGGGATGTGACTCAGCAGCCAGCTCGCAGTGTATCCATGGGATGTGACTCAGCAGCCACTCACCTCACAGTGTATCCATGGGATGTGACTCAGCAGCCACTCACCTCGCAGTGTATCCATGGGATGTGACTCAGCAGCCACTCACCTCACAGTGTATCCATGGGATGTGACTCAGCAGCCACTCACCTCACAGTGTATCCATGGGATGTGACTCAGCAGCCACTCACCTCACAGTGTATCCATGGGATGTGACTCAGCCTCCACTCACCTCACAGTGTATCCATGGCATGTGACTCAGCAGCCACTCACCTCGCAGTGTATCCATGGGATGTGACTCAGCAGCCACTCACCTCACAGTGTATCCATGAGATGGGACTCAGCCTCCACTCACCTCGCAGTGTATCCATGGGATGGGACTCAGCCTCACAGGATGCCATTTAGCACTCACTCACCTCTCTGTGCATACATAAGATGCCATTTAGCAACCACTTACTTAAAAATGTATCAATAAAATGTCACTCCAGTTACCACAGAGTGTATACACGCAAAGTCACTCGGCCTTCACTTACCTAATAGAGTATACCCAAGTTTCAAGAGCTCTGTCTTTCTGTATCTTTGCAGCAAGGAACAATAAAGTTATTACAATAAACACAGTGACTCTCCTGTGGTAATTTATCGTGCAGGATTAATCTCCTGCGTGATAGAATTAACCAGCCTCCATTACTGCTGTATGAGGTCACTATCCAGCCTCCATTACTGCTGTATGAGGTCACTATCGAGTCTTCATTACTGCTGTCTGAGGTCACTATCCATCCTCTATTACTGCTGTGTGAGGTCACTATCCAGCCTCCATTACTGCTGTATGAGGTCACTATCCATCCTCTATTACTGCTGTGTGAGGTCACTATCCATCCTCCATTACTGCTGTGTGAGGTCACTATCCATCCTCCATTACTGCTGTGTGAGGTCACTATCCATCCTCTATTACTGCTGTATGAGGTCACTATCCATCCTCTATTACTGCTGTATGAGGTCACTATCCATCCTCCATTATTGCTGTGTGAGGTCACTATACATCCTCTATTACTGTTGTATGAGGTCACTATCCATCCTCCATTACTGCTGTGTGAGGTCACTATACATCCTCTATTACTGCTGTTTGAGGTCACTATCCAGCCTCCATTACTGTTGTATGAGGTCACTATCCATCCTCTATTACTGCTTTATGAGGTCACTATCCATCCTCTATTACTGCTATGTGAGGTCACTATCCAGCCTCCATTACTGCTGTATGAGGTCACTATCCATCCTCTATTACTGCTGTGTGAGGTCACTATCCAGCCTCCATTACTGCTGTGTGAGGTCACTATCCAGCCTCCATTACTGCTGTATGAGGTCACTATCCATCCTCTATTACTGCTGTATGAGGTCACTATCCATCCTCTATTACTGCTGTGTGAGGTCACTATCCAGCCTCCATTACTGCTGTATGAGGTCACTATCCATCCTCTATTACTGCTGTGTGAGGTCACTATCCAGCCTCCATTACTGCTGTGTGAGGTCACTATCCATCCTCTATTACTGCTGTATGAGGTCACTATCCATCCTCCATTACTGCTGTATGAGGTCACTATCCATGCTCTATTACTGTTGTATGAGGTCACTATCCATCCTCCATTACTGCTGTGTGAGGTCACTATCCATCCTCTATTACTGCTGTTTGAGGTCACTATCCAGCCTCCATTACTGTTGTATGAGGTCACTATCCATCCTCTATTACTGCTTTATGAGGTCACTATCCATCCTCTATTACTGCTGTGTGAGGTCACTATCCAGCCTCCATTACTGCTGTATGAGGTCACTATCCATCCTCTATTACTGCTGTGTGAGGTCACTATCCATCCTCCATTACTGCTGTGTGAGGTCACTATCCATCCTCTATTACTGCTGTGTGAGGTCACTATCCATCCTCCATTACTGCTGTGTGAGGTCACTATCCATCCTCTATTACTGCTGTGTGAGGTCACTATCCAGCCTCCATTACTGCTGTGTGAGGTCACTATCCATCCTCTATTACTGCTGTCTGAGGTCACTATCCATCCTCTATTAATGCTGTGTGAGGTCACTATCCAGCCTCCATTACTGCTGTATGAGGTCACTATCCATCCTCTATTACTGCTGTGTGAGGTCACTATCCATCCTCCATTACTGCTGTGTGAGGTCACTATCCATCCTCCATTACTGCTGTGTGAGGTCACTATCCAGCCTCCATTACTGCTGTATGAGGTCACTATCCATCCTCCATTACTGCTGTGTGAGGTCACTATCCATCCTCTATTACTGCTGTATGAGGTCACTATCCAGCTTCCATTACTGCTGTATGAGGTCACTATCCAGCCTCCATTACTGCTGTGTGAGGTCACTATCAATCCTCTATTACTGCTGTATGAGGTCACTATCCATCCTCCATTACTGCTGTGTGAGGTCACTATCCATCCTCTATTACTGCTGTATGAGGTCCCTATCCATCCTCCATTACTGCTGTATGAGGTCACTATCCATCCTCCATTACTGCTGTGTGAGGTCACTATCGAGCCTTCATTACTGCTGTGTGAGGTCACTATCGAGCCTTCATTACTGCTGTGTGAGGTCACTATCCATCCTCTATTACTGCTGTGTGAGGTCACTATCCATCCTCTATTACTGCTATGTGAGGTCACTATCGAGCCTCCATTACTGCTGTTTGAGGTCACTATCCATCCTCTATTACTGCTGTGTGAGGTCACTATCCATCCTCTATTACTGCTGTGTGAGGTCACTATCGAGTCTTCATTACTGCTGTGTGAGGTCACTATCCATCCTCTATTACTGCTGTGTGAGGTCACTATCCATCCTCCATTACTACTGTATGAGATCACTATCCATCCTCCATTACTGCTGTGTGAGGTCACTATCCATCCTCCATTACTGCTGTATGAGGTCACTATCCATCCTCCATTACTGCTGTATGAGGTCACTATCCATCCACTATTATTGGTGTATGAGGTCACTATCCAGCCTCCATTACTGCTGTGTGAGGTCACTATGCATGCTCTATCACTACTGTATGAGGTCACTATCCATCCTCTATTACTGCTGTATGAGGTCACTATCCATCCTCTATTACTGCTGTATGAGGTCACTATCCATCCTCCATTACTGCTGTATGAGGTCACTATCCATGCTCTATTACTGTTGTATGAGGTCACTATCCATCCTCCATTACTGCTGTGTGAGGTCACTATACATCCTCTATTACTGCTGTTTGAGGTCACTATCCAGCCTCCATTACTGCTGTATGAGGTCACTATCCATCCTCTATTACTGCTTTATGAGGTCACTATCCATCCTCTATTACTGCTGTGTGAGGTCACTATCCAGCCTCCATTACTGCTGTATGAGGTCACTATCCATCCTCTATTACTGCTGTGTGAGGTCACTATCCAGCCTCCATTACTGCTGTGTGAGGTCACTATCCAGCCTCCATTACTGCTGTATGAGGTCACTATCCATCCTCTATTACTGCTTTATGAGGTCACTATCCATCCTCTATTACTGCTGTGTGAGGTCACTATCCAGCCTCCATTACTGCTGTATGAGGTCACTAGCCATCCTCTATTACTGCTGTGTGAGGTCACTATCCAGCCTCCATTACTGCTGTGTGAGGTCACTATCCATCCTCTATTACTGCTGTATGAGGTCACTATCCATCCTCCATTACTGCTGTATGAGGTCACTATCCATGCTCTATTACTGTTGTATGAGGTCACTATCCATCCTCCATTACTGCTGTGTGAGGTCACTATACATCCTCTATTACTGCTGTTTGAGGTCACTATCCAGCCTCCATTACTGCTGTATGAGGTCACTATCCATCCTCTATTACTGCTTTATGAGGTCACTATCCATCCTCTATTACTGCTGTGTGAGGTCACTATCCAGCCTCCATTACTGCTGTATGAGGTCACTATCCATCCTCTATTACTGCTGTGTGAGGTCACTATCCATCCTCCATTACTGCTGTGTGAGGTCACTATCCATCCTCCATTACTGCTGTGTGAGGTCACTATCCATCCTCTATTACTGCTGTGTGAGGTCACTATCCAGCCTCCATTACTGCTGTGTGATGTAATTCACGAGCTTTAGGATCAGCAGGGCTTTCTTGGCATTTTCCGGTGTTCTATCATTCTGCTATACTCCGTCAGATTGCTATACCCCCGTCACACCGGGACCCCGCATGCTTCCTTTACATGTCCTCTTATTTATGCTAAAATTCACATCCGTGTTCGAGTCCGAGTTACGCATTTGCCAGTCTGTATCTGGATCTGTTTCTTATCGAAATCTGCACTTTTGTAAAGTACCATTGAAATGGGATACTCCACACCCATAAAGAAGCAATCTGAAGGGCTTTATGGGCATGGAGTGATCTTATAATAATAAAATAATGTTAATAACTCCATCAGCTATGTAATAATAATCACTAAGTCGACGTGATATGTGAGCAGTGGCCCCTTTGCAAGCATATGTATGAGAGCTTTGACCAGATTGCTTTCTGTGATTTGATTTGATTTTACATTTGATACATAAACATTGTGACAAAATAAACAAAAGTAAAAAGCTTTTGGTAACATGAATTGAAACATAAACAGATATATGTATTTATTGAATACCATTAGCAGTCATATTCCCTTTTAAACAGTGACCTATTTGATCCATATTCTTACTTAATAGGGATATATTAGGTAACTTTATACATAGATTACATTAATTAACTATATGTATTATAGATTTATACATCTGTTTGCAGCATAAGGAAATATTTTGCTAGCATGCAGAAATATTTTAAGCAGCAAATACATTTTTACCAAAAATATAAAAACAGATACAAAGTATACATACAATAAACGTGTAAAAACATGCTTTAAGCTGTTATCATTCAACTCTAAAGTTATCATTTATAGTTTAACTGTACATCATTTAACCCCTTAAGGACACATGACATGTGTGACATGTCATGATTCCCTTTTATTCCAGAAGTTTGGTCCTTAAGGGGTTATTAATAACATGATAGTGCAGACCCATTGTTCATTGGATATAATATCTTGTGGGCTGTAACTTCATGATGTGCCTGCATTTATTTGTTAAAGTACTTAGGATCTCTTACTGCTGAATTCTCAATTGAACAAATAGCAGCACATATCTACTATAAAATGCAGACTTCGTGGAGTAATTACAGTAAAAAAAACAAGCATTTACTATGTCTTGTACTCATATATTCAAACCTCTTTATTGTGCTATTTAAGTAAGCATTACTGTTTATTTAAAAGGCAGCAGCATTTTCCAAAGAATTGCCATAAATAGGTACACCCCCATAATCAGCAACACCTTCCATTGTCTGTATGCATATCTATATGTTGATTTCAATCTGTCAGGGTACACACACATTTAAAAATAATTTTTTTTTAAAGTACATTAAGTTCCATCTATACATTGTACATGTAAAAATGCTGGAAAATGTGTAGATTTGAAGAATGCCTACTTAAAGATAAAATCCCTCTGCCATGTATTAATCGAGTGACAGGAGAGAGAACAATCCTCACACAGGTTCTCCTGCTCTCTGTGACAGAAGCTACTGTGGTGTTTCTCTGGCAAGCGTGTCTCTCACTTCTACAGAGGATGTCACTCTGTGCCGATTCTGATTTATTGGCAGGAAAGCCAGCACAATGCGTCATTTGGGAAGTGTACGTTGCTTGGGGAAATGTTCCAGTAGAAGACCTCATTTAAGTTTGAGGGGGCAGGAAGTAGATGAGAGCAAGAAGTTCGAATGTAATGTTTTGTAATTTTTAAAATTTCTACATCTCATTTAAAGTGGCTCTGTTACTTTGCCGGTTTTGCTTTTAAATTAATTTATTTTTTTAAATTCATCTTCGTTCTTTAGTTATACATAATAAATAGTAAAGACTATTTTTTTCTTTAATTGGGAGTGTGATCTTTGGGAAATATTGGTACTGTGTAGAGCTTAAAGGAACCCTATAGTGTTAGGAATACACACCTGTATTCCTAATGCTACATTGCCCTTGTCCCCAGTTCTATACAGGTTTCCCTTCCATGTGCCATAAAGACAAAAAAAAAAATCAAAGTTTTACTTAACTTTTCTACAGTGCCCCCCTCCCTAGCACCACCCCTCCTCCCCCCAACGGGGCTGAAGGGGTAGAAATCCCTTCAGTCACTTACCTGAATCCAGTGCTGAAGTCCCTTTGGCGCTCTGCCCACACTCGCTTTAGGATTTCCCCATAGGAAAGCTTTATTCACTAGAGGTGTAGTAAATCCTGGATGGTAATTATTGCAATTTCTCAATAACTGTAATAATTACTATTGCAGGGTTAAGGGAACCATTGCACCCAGATCAATTCAATGAGCTGAAGTGGTCTGGGTGCCTACAATTTCCCTTTAAAAGGACAGGGCCACTACACCTAGACCACTTCCTTGAGATAAGGTTGTGTGGGTGATTTTAGTGTCCTACAGAAGGGCAAACTGCAGACATCACGGACAGAGGAGAACAAAATAGAGATGGCCAGGTATTAAGATCCGATGCAAGGCAGGAAAAGATCAAATAAAAATAAATAAAGGCAAGTGACAAAGATAGGAGTATAATCATTAAGGTGCATGGGGTATAAGGATGGGAAAGCTGAACGAAAAAAAAAACATGACAGAGTCACTTTAAGGAAGATATTACGTTATATAATATTTTGGCAGTGACTATGGTTGGCAAGGTAAAAGAGAACATGTTACTTTATTTAAAGAACAAGTTCAGATATTTTGGATGACATTATGAGAGTAAATTGTCTTTTTATTTTTATTAAATGGTTTCTTACTAAAGCCTGTTACATAGTTTTATGTCTTCAGTCCACATTAGTTACCATTGACCAGTTTGTTTATTTAAGGAATATTGCGTATTACCCTGAAATCCTGTGGGTATATTCACACTCCAATTGGGCTGATCCATTAAAACATGAAATGCCAGAAATTCAAAGGGAATTGTCAGAAATTCATAGAAGGATTAACTTTTGAATGTTGGCTTAGCGATCTAAGTGTACAAATTTAAAATGACAAGTATGGTCATCTTCACAGCTTTTCTTAAATGAGTGTTTGTGCTCAGTTTGGGCAATAGGGTGACCATCAACTTCCATTGCCCTCAATCAGATGTTCTGGATGACCAGTGATGGGAGTCCAGCAGCTCAAATACTATGCTTAATTATCACAATTAATAATGGCTGGCACTTAAAAGGGCACTATAGTCATCAGAACCACTACAGTTTAAATTAGTGGTTCTGGTGTCTATTGCCTATCCTGAAGGCTCTTCAATGTAAACCCCACCTTTTAAGAGATGTTTACATTGGTGCATAGTAACACCTCTAGGGACAGTCACTCAGACGGCCACTAGAGGTGCTTCCTGGGTCAGTACTGCACAATGTGCTGTGCATGGAGACGCTATATGTACCCCATAGAGATACATTGATTCAATACATGCACATATGAGGAGTTGCTCATTGGCGCAATAGCCTCCCAATACTTTCCTATGGTAAAGCATTGGATTTGCGGAGATCATCAAGATTTCTGATCTCCGCCATGGTGGCGTTAGCTGCAGTGAGACCGTATGGGCAAAAGGTAAGGCAAGGGGGCCTCAATATGAGGCAAGGGGGCTGGGGGCCTAACTAGTTAGTCTAATTCTATAGTTTCAGGAATATATGTTTGTATTCGTGACACTATAGTGTTCCTTTAAACATAGCCTCTATTTTCAAACTATGTTTACAGATACTATTTTGACCCAGTCATTATAATATATTTTAGCCTCTTCACCACCCCATTGGCATTTAGACCCTACATAACCACAGCTCTTCTCTTTTCCTTTATTTTCATACTAATTTTCCTTTCTAAACATGTTTTTCATTTCTACTGTCATCCTCTCAATACTGATTCCTAAAAAAAAAAATTTAAAAAAATCTGGCAGCAATATATTTTTGTTAATAAAGTATAGATATACAGGTTATTGGCAAGTACCCATTCTTATCTTCTGGTGTTTTTCCTCCCCGTTTTATGGACTCTTCTGACATCACATCATCTTCTTTTCATGCCATGCCATATAAAATGACAATAAGTGATCTCATTCCAGTTTATGTCAGAATGCTGTGTCAAGTGTAACAATCCATATATTTATGAATTATTATTTGGTAGCACTGATGGGTGTCTTAAAGGCAGACATTGCAATATATGCTTCTTCCCAAGACAATACCTTAAAGCCACAAGGCATCTGTTTTCCAGCATTTGACTGAATGGATACATTTTCCACTGTAGAAGAGGATGTGTCTTCAGTCGTACTTTTTTGGATTTTATCACAACTTCCACGAGATTGTGAGAAAATACTATCATTCATTACAGTGTTGCCAAATACATTGGATTTGTGGCTCTCCATAGCAGTGATGTTATCAGAGAAATTGTTATATGGTACATTCTGGTTATCCGTGGAGAAACTTCTAGCATTCCCATTTGGTAGTTCATTGCTTTCACTTGCAGCAAGAGTTATGGATTCAGACTCCAAATCCGCTTCAGCTTCAGGTGGGGGTAGATTGTTCTCTTCTATTAGCTCTTCTGAATGCACATAATCCACTTTATTAATAGACATGTTCTCGAAAAGTTGTGGGTTGAAACTGATATGGTGATCCTAAATCATAAATGGTGGTAAGAGAAACACTGTTAAAGAAGGCAGACACAAATAAACTTGTCATAGGATAATAGCTCTCCAAATCACATAAACCTACCTGATAAAAAGTGTGAATTGCTAGGAATTGGCAAATGTTGGCCTATAATTTTGGAATTTATTTTAAATTCTTGACAAGGTACGTCACAGAACTGGGTAGGCTTTCATTATAGGTGAGTGTTCTCAAAATGGACACATATAGCCAAGTGAAGGAGAAAAGAGAGCCACGTTCTCCAAGGGTTACCATACATACTATGTGCTACAAAAATAGAATATTTACCAGGCTTTGATTGTTGTTAGTTAAAAAAAAAATGTGTGCTTTTTTTAGTTTTTAATGTGTTTTCTGAAAACACATTAAAGACAGCTCTAACTACAGAGCTAAAAATGA